TATATACCTACGTATATTTATCACGTAGATAATATGTTCAAAATCATGTTTTTCTCTATTAATAAGATTATGTTCGAAATTTATGCGACAACTGACAATAAATATAACGCTTGTCTGGTTTGATCTTTTATAGATTTTACGATATCTATAACATTAATCAATAGAGTATAACTATAAGAAATAAATAAATAATATAAATAAATGTTTGACTGTGATATTGTATTTTACGTCGTAATATTGACTTTTTTGTAATATACTATACAATATTCTATATAATTTTAATTTCAAGTAATCACTTGAATGTGTTTTTGTAAAATCATATATTTAATTAAAAATTGATTAACTAATTATTTTTGTTATTTAAAAAATCATTACCAAGGGGTTACCAAAATATAGAAACTGAAATTTGTGGTGGCGGTAAAAGGAAATATATATTATTGTACTGGCGGTAAACGGAAAGGTCGATTTTGGCGGAAAAGTAGATCACCCTTATAGACTAGTCATTTTCACTAAATTTTCTAAATTTTTAGCCATATCGAATCTTTCAAGGTATAATATTTATTTTATAATATACTTTACCAAGAATTGAATATTATTGAATTAACTCTAATTCAGAAAATTCCGTTATAAGTTTCAAGTTTGCCGGTAGCTGGTGCCATATCGTGACGTCAAAAGATTTCCAATGTTATCGCTCACATTGAACGTTTTACCACCGGAGTTCAGCATTATTTTATATTCCCGATTATAGATTATTATTATTTATATATCAACGGCCATAATTTATCAGTAATTTGTATTAAATTTGTTTCAATGATTTGTTTAATTTCTAACATGTTATTTTATTAATTTATTTTTATTTTTATTAAGCATATTCATATGTTGTATAGTAATATTAGAGACGCAAAACTACATAACGTTATTTATAATGATCTACTATTGATCGATTACACATAACAACATACGATACTAAAAAAAAAACTTATATTAAATATTAAATCTGTTGTCATATTTTACAAACCTATAGGTTTATTTAATTAGYATTAAAAACAAAGTCGAAACCACATTGAGAATTTAGTTCAAATGTAAGGAATATTTTAGTTACAATTAGTGATCTACACAAATTATACCAGTATTAAAACTAAACTACACGGCAGTTAAAATATGGAGAGATTTCAAAATGATAAAAATTGCCTTAGATATATAAGCGGGAACAGTATCCAGAAGAAATTCTTTTTGGTTGCAATATTTTTTTGGTTTTTGAATTACTTCATTTCAGTGACTCACTAAAATGACGATAGATGCACTCGAAATCTACAATACGTTTTTATTTTGCAAATTTAATTTGTTATGTCATTTTTAATGAATTTATTACGGCTACTTTAGTTTCGTGATAAGTTGTTTAATAATGATTAAACAATAAAATATAAAAATTTTAACAAATAAATATTTCACGTTATCAACAACATTTTTATGAACTTTTCTKCATTCCAATCTATTCATTCAATAATATTATACATATAGTATTCATCATTTATCACTTTATCAGTAATATTTTACGAGTTAAAACAATATTCTATAAGAAGTTTAATAATCTAAAAACCTAACCTACATACATTATATATTTAGAATTATAATTTCAAAATTTATATTTTTCTGAACTACATCTTTTGACCTATAAATAATAATGGTTATGAGTCCCAACAAAAATTTGTTTGAATTTTATACATCGGTATTTGAATATACAAAGCTGTAATTTTACAAGCAGCACCAGAACCGCGAAAATGATCGATTACAATGCACTGCTTAATTTTGGTACTAATGAATGCAATTTATAAATATAATATATTATGAATATTATGCAAAAAAAAAAATTAAAACATACATATTAAACACACTATAAATTATTAATCATAAATTATGTACAAATTTAAATTATTTATCAGGATTATAAACATTGGTTGTAATGTAGTATGACCTATCGTAATTTAATAGGTCATGAAATGGATGTGCTTCTTAAACTAATTGAGCGTAGAAAATAATGATGTAGTTTGTGGTAGTCGTTATTCCGAAGAAAAGTTTCAAGTATCTATGAATATTATATTTTGAATAACAACAACATAACTAAAATTATTTCAGAAAAAGACGATAGGTATACCTACTTAACGTTTAAAAGTTTAGATATCCTGAGATTTTGTTAAAATTTGAATTTCAGACGCTTATAAAAAATATATATATATATATAAATCTGTATCATCGATGTTTTTAAATAGCTGAAAAAAGACTGTGGCGAAGCACATAGTACTAGGTAAATTTTACCCAAAAATAATAATATTATCAACTTAAATAAAAAATTGAAAACTTACGTCTGATTATTGCTCTAAAATAAGAGCCAAATATTATTTTTTTTAAACCATGATATGCCAAATAAAATACATATATTTGGTCAAAATGTCATGTTAGTTATGAAATTAAAATTGTACAAACCTTTATTTGTAGTTCAAAAATATATTATAAATAAAATGCCACGGAATTGAAAATCGACTCGAGATTAACACTTACCTACTAGAAAAATTAAATCTGACTTGATGTCTAAATGGCGATTGAACACTAAAATGAGAAACCACATCTACATAAAAATTAAAACTAATAAATGTATACGATTTATCTGACACCTATTCACGCTTTACATATAGGTATTATGATTATATTGTAGAAACAAACATTTATGGACTTCTTTTATTCGATAACAAAGGTCACACTAGTCTTTGACTATTAATTAGTTTTGGCCTAAAGCATAATATATTACCTATATAACTTAATAATATTAGGTATTATAATATAATATTAATATTATCTTAATAAAATTATTATCAACATATCTGAAAAAAATKATTTCATTATTCTATAAGTGCTTATATAAATTAGGTTTATATTTATTGCATATGCATTTATACGACCATTGACCAATCTGTTGCAATTAATCAATGATCAAATATCAGCGAATTTCACGTACTCATTTCGTTTTAAATTATTTGATGGTCGGATGTGGTGTGACTAGGAGAGTAGATTGGATGTTTTTTTTTTAGTGGTGGTCGAGGTAGCTGCATCAACCTGTACCCGAAATTTCTGTAAATATTTGTTAGTAATCATGTATTTCGTATACCTATATGTATACCAATATTTTGGTACCTTACTGATGGGTGTTACGAAAGTAAGGATCGGTACGGGATTAACTCACGGAAGATGGTAAACTGCGGCAAAATTAACCTTTTTCTAAAAGTCGATATGTAAACTGTGGCAAAAAAAAAATTAAGATTATACCTATACAATCTGCGGCAAAGTCGATAAGATACATAATACAAACGGCGACAATTTATTTTATATACCTTCTATGTATATACCTATGTATATACCTATGTATATACCTACCATATACGTAAATCGTTTAATTTATCTTGCGTACAAATTGGTAAGGTAAATCCAAATGTATTTTTAAGATTTAACGAAGCATATCGGTAATATCGGTTCCTTTACATTTGACAATACTAGTGGTTTAGAAAATTACAAAATGTGTGTCTATCTAAACTTTACATTGAAGGAGACACAGATGAAGGAAAATTTTTAAATTATATTTTTGGTCTCCCGTTCCTTGACCCTGACGAAGTCGAAGATTCGTTTGTTTTTGATTTAATTGCAGATATGCCATCTAATAATAAAATAGTACAATTTTGCGATTATTAAAAATAAAATTAATTAGATAAATAAAAATTTTTTAAATTATATTCAATTTTGAAAATTGGTATTTCTTTATTTTTACGCCTAATACTCTAATAGTCTCTAGATAAATAGATGTCATAACTCATATTATACACGATATGTATATAATTTAGTACACATAGAAGGTATATAAAATTAATTTCCACAGTTTGTATAATGTATCTTATCGGTTTTGCCACAGATTGTATAATCTTAATTTTTTTTTTGCCGCAGTTTACATACAGCCTAACTCACCAAGTAAAATAAATTCAGGTTTGTAATCTGGAAAACTGTTAATATTGCTAAAATATTAAAAACAAACGTGTTTACGGATTTCTCTAATGCGATAATAAAGACCACGTACTCGTGCATTTGATTAAAAAGTCGTTTACCCTAGTCATTCACAACAACAGTTCTTATCTCATGAACAATTTTAATTTACAGAAATCTAATTGATATTTCAATCGATATGTAATATTATTATATTTAGCCATATTTAGTTGGATATTATTTTTCTTTTCATAGAATATTGCGATTGGAGTCTGGAGGTAACTAATACATATGTGTCAAAAAGTATGCACCTTTCGTTTGAAATAGATTTCRTTAGCTGTATTTATCATTTAATCATGATATTTAATGCAGAATATTGARTATAATTTCACTTTATTACAACATATATCACTGTAAAAAACTAAAAATAATGATATGCACATTTWAATGTTTCATAAACAATTTTTTTATTTAATAACAAAATGTATAACTGCAAATCTAACTTTTTCTTCTCTTTTTTTGATCGATATCGACGATATCTAATCATATATTCTTACTTTTAAATATTTGAAATTGTTCAACAAACTTATATGTTATAAGATTATAACTTAAAAGTACCTATTAACTTTTAGTTATGTATGTATCGTATAAATAAATATTTTATCGATCATCTTAATGTCCAAACAGTTGACGTTAAAAATATTTTATAAAAACTCAAAATTAAGTTTATTTTGTTATTAACAGGGAAAAATTTAACAAAAAGGTCATAAATTAGTAGATATACGACAATTATACGTCATAATATCTTATTATCAATGCGTAAAATATTCATAAAACTAATTCAAATGTTAAAGTGTAAAATCGTATTAATTGTACAATGTTAGTTGTATTTCAGACATTTCAGTAGGAGGTAACTTTATCAAAAAATAATCATAGTTATTAGTTATATCAGATAATTCGAAGGGTATAAATAACTTGTGTATAAGACGTAATTTATAAGGACTAAATATACGGAAAGGATTACATAAGAATAAGTGATTACCGATTTATAGGATGAAGTTCAAACGATAATTTTCTATTACCTACTTAATCATAATTATTATACCTTCATTGTAAACACGTTGATTAATAGTTACATCACTGTGGCCCATTATATGGAGATAATTATATGAGATAGTGAAATACTTAAAATCATACAAACTCTTAAAAAAGAAATATAAAAAATTATTAAGCTATGACTTTTATCGAAATTATAAGACACCAAAAGCCTAAAACTTTATGTCACCGCAAATAGTTATCAAATATGAAAAATACAGCTCCATGTTCCAGCCCGCCCCCCCCCCACTTTGGAATTTCGAAACAAAATTAAATTCTTGGAAAATCAAACTTATGTGGATTAGAAAAACGTTTTTTAATATAAGTGCATGATTTTCGAACGTTAAAAAAATAATTTCTATTCAATCAATGAAACTTAAGTATAATCAATATAATATTTTTATAATAATTATATTCTATACCCAATATCATATCAAATAAGGATATTTCTAACTAATTGTTGTACCTGTTTTGTGTCAATTGCAATGTTTATAATAATATATTTAAATATAATTTAACTTGATACCTATGCATTGAAATAATCTGATATAGTGATGCATCACTCCGATACAACGCTTGTGAAGAGATCGTTGTTCTCATTTTAGATTTCGTAGTTTATATAGTCGATCGAAAGGGCAAGGTTTTCGCATCCCGACTAAAATATTTTATTTATGGTAACATTTTCCAAAAACCGTTCAAAAATGCTTGTTAAGCTATTTAAAATGAATTGGAAGAAAAGAGAGTGTTTTTCGGGTATGTAAAAAGTGTTGCTTAATTTTCAAATCGAATTCAAAAATTATCAAACTTTGCATTTTTTGATTTCGTATGATCAAGTTTTTTTTTAACCTCCTCAAAACAAAATACATTGACAGTTTAAAATAATTGAGTATCATTGTATTATAATTACGTTTACATACCTACTTAATATTATGTTCTTATAATTTTCGTAATGAAATCATGAAGGCATGAGCCTATTTAAATACTATCAAATACCTAAATCAGTTACAAACAAAAATGAATATTAGCTTATAACAATTTTATTAAAAACATAATATGCAAAATAACTATATCAGATTATTACAATGCATAGGTATCAAGTTAAATTATATTTAAATACTTATGTTATTTTTAGTATAAACACTACAATTGACACAAAACTTTTACAACAATTATTTATAAATGTCCTTATCTGGTATGATATTGGGTATAGAATATAATTATTATAAAAATATTAYATAGATATTGATTATACTWAAGTTTCATTGATTGAATAGAAATTATTTTTTTAACGTTCGAAAATCACGCACTTATATTAAAAAACGTTTTTCTAATCCACATCAGTTTTATTTTCAAAATACATAGAACGTATTTAAAGTACAACCTGTATTACCATTAAATCTTTAGTGTTAGGCTGTAAGTCCATTTGTTGAGTCGCAAATATTTTTTCATTTCCTAAAATGACGCAAAATTTAAAAAAAAATTTAAAAAATTTCTTATTCAAAATGTATGGGTTTTTCTGGCAAACCAAATATTTTACGACTAAAGGCAATAGAGGTTACAATGATAAGGTGGACAGTTGTGATCAGATTCACATGACAAAATAATAATTTTTTTTTATAAAGGAAAGTACCTAGCTGGGATTACATTTCAGCCACCAACTTTCAAAGTTGGACAACTTTGGAAGGGGTTGAGCACAAACGACGGGGTTAGAAGCACAAACCAACAAAAACGAAGCACGAACGAATGGAGTTAATTTTGTTTCGAAATTCCAAAGTGGGGAGGAGACATGGAGCGGAAAAATACGCCACGAACTTACGCCGTTTGCGTCTACTTCACAGAACAACCAAATAATATAGAAATGTTATTATTTAATGATTATTTGTTCATTTATAACTTGACACCACAAATATTAGAGTACAGTGAATATTATTATATACATAAGTACCCAWAACAAACAAACAAATATTTACAATATTGATTTTAACATGTACATTTTCAGGTTGGAAATTGATAGTATTTAAATGTTTGTGAATAATTATTATTTTGTACAATTCATTTGCACACTTCATGACCGGATACAGTAATACCTACTATGTAATATCAAAACCAGAGAAGTCGCAGAGCTGTATAGTATATTATGTATACATAATATATACTATATACAGCAGAGATGGCAACTAATCTTAATTTTGGAAGCCGCAAGTTATAGAAGCTTATTCGAATATTAATTATTATTAATATTATTATTAAKAGGTATCGATAGTATTCACCATTGAGTGGGTCTTCGTTTTATGGACATGTTAAATTATTGTTCTATTATAAACGAAAAATGATACTAAACTGAGACTGCCAGCTTTTATTTATGACGATATTTAACTAAACATTTTTATTGTTTCGTTATTAGAAATTAGTAATTACTATTAGTAAAACGATTGGTTAAAGTTAAGCCAGTTTTTGGAAAAAACAAATCGCATAATTTATTATACACATAATAGTGATTATAATCACATCTACTAGCTGTAATTAACTCGGAAGTCAATATCAACTGACATACCATAAAATGATGACAAGCTTAAAATTAGTTTAGATATTGTAAAAATTCTGATAAATGTAAAAAAATGATAAATTAAGCACATAGGTAGGTAAAAATAGAATTTTCAAGCGTCTGCGATTTTTCGTTTTGTCTTTTGAATTACAACGAATTAAAAAAAAATTACAGAGGATAAATCGTTATTTTAAGCGCGAATTGTGAATAATATCCATCGTTGTCAAAATTTAAATTTCCATTACTTATAAAAAAATTGTTTGGCTTTACGCGCAAATTTTTTGTTTGGWATCCAGTGTAATAACAAATTTTAATGAACCTTATATGGCATTTTCAAGCTTTTTGACCAAGAGAACATTTTCAATCGACGTTTATAGTTACTTCAAGCCTTAATTTTAATAACAAAATAATTTACAACAATTTATAAAATTTAGAAATTAAACGGTTAAGAATTACAACATGTTTTTAGTTTGTGTAGGTATAAAAAACTTATTTAGAACCTTAATTTKAATGTTCTAGTACTTTAAGAGTAAAAAAAAAAAAATCATGCATAAGTTGAATGCCCTGAAATTTTATTTTAGAAATTTTATATTAGCATAATAACTAGTGTTTCCCATTTTCCATGATTTTTTTTTTCTGATTATTTTCTTATATAATACCTAAACCCTTCTAAACCCTTAAAATTGATAATTGAAGAATTTCTATTTTTTAATGTTTCCAAATATGCCGCCAATACAGAAAATRAATTAAATTAACATACATCTCAGAATTTTACTAAAATCTAAATATATTGGTACCTACTTACATTACATAATAATATTTTATTATAGTCATGCGTAATACCTATGTGCGAACCAAGGGGGGGGGGTATAATATTATTTGGAGACTTCTGTAGGATTTATCAAACTGTACTTATTGCGATGAGTAAATAATAAGTATTTTAGTAAATATAGCAAATCGTAATACTATACGTATTATATTATTTATATTATTAAGCGTTATGTTATTTATTACAATTAAAAATATACAACCTCTAACTTATGATTAAAATCATCGTAACCCTGGTTACATACAAATGATAAAGCACGGATCGAAACCAGTAACAATCAACAAAAATGTGTCATTTCAGAAATCATAGATATTTTTTATATAAATTTTAATCAAAAAATGTTTATTTTCCCTCATATTTTTTACGAAATTTGTGTCATATAAACGAAGTAATGAGTCTTATCACTGAATTTTTAATAATTTATCTGGATACGTTCCAGACGATTTTGAGTCTATTAAGCGACTGAACCGTCCGTGAGTCTTATAAGTGGCGCCTAATGCATAAAAAATAGTAGGTATGTATAATATTTTGTGTACCACATCAAATTACCAATGAAAACAAACGAGACTTTTTCGTACACTGCCGCACGCAGACGACGACTTTATGCAGCTATTAACAAATATAAACTTATAAATTATAATATAGTTTAAAATAATAAAAAAGTAAATGTTTATGCAATACCTAATATGCGTCATCAATAATAAATTTACAATAGTGATTGTTATTTTTTTATTTATTAATCAACATAACTTGGATTTGATTAAAAGTAACTTATTATTTTATAATATTTATATCTAGAGCTAGAATTTTGGTGACTTTTGCATTTTTTTTTTCTTAAGTGCTATACAATTCTAACCAAAAACTAAATTTGTTTCGTGATATAATAATTTAGAATATGTCATTTTTATTTTGTATTTTTAAGTTCATTTTGTGWATTTTAAGTAATTTTTCTTTATTTTAAGCTTTTTTAATATGTGTTGTAAAGGTAATCCCAATTAGTACCTAKAGGCAATTACTTATTCCAGTCCATTGATATTAAAATAGTAATATAAGAATTAGTAAGATAAGAATAAATATCGTACGAACCCAAAACTATATAACAGAATCTTATTATCAGAATCTATTAATAAAATTATACAAATTGAGACTGCATTATCTSTTGCTCCTAATGTAATCGGAGAAACAATATCAAACAAACTGAAAAATATTTAAAAATAATGGGTTCAAAGCTTAAAAAAATATATCTGCTATTCTGGACGGCGAAAATACAACAAGTAGAGATGGTATTCCGGAAGACCTAACTTTAAATGATATGGTATATTTCAAATATGCCCCTGTTATTTCTGTGTACGTTGAACGAAGCTTTTCTTCATGTAAAACATTTAATCTGACCGCCGTCGCAGCTTCCTGTTTGATAATCTTAAGAATCACCTAATATTGTGCAATGCAATAATATGTGTACGGGTAAAAAAAAATATGATATATTTTTCATTAAATTATTTTATTGATTTTTCAGAACAATTATACCAGGAAGYGGTTAAATTCACAAGCCAAATTTATACCTATTTTATTCATAAATCATAATTAATATTTTAAAAATACAATTTTTTCGCTGATCTAAGAACATTTTTTGGTCATTTTTAAGTTCGTTTTTTTAGAGTTTTTAGGTCATTTTAGCATTTTTTTAGTGAATTTTTGTGTATTTTTTAGGTCATTAAAATCCCAGCTCTATTTATATCAATAAAACCAGTAACATTAGAGCACATTAAATTTTAGAAAGTTAACTTTGGTCCAAAATTCGGACATTTACCAATTTATTGATTTCAGTAAAACCTTGCAAACACAAAATTATTTAGTCAAACCCCAAATGATTTTTGTAGTTCGGACTTTTACAAACGAGATTTGATAAATATTGGGATTTACAAACAGTATTAGTAAAAGTCTAACCTTTTTTACGAACTATGTTATTTATTATTAATTATTATTATTATTTAAATATATTAAGTACTACATTAATGACTAGTATATTAGATCCGCAAATTTATATAATTATTATATATTACTGCGGTATTACTACACTCATACATTTACACAACACGCATAAACACATGGTAATTTGCCTATATTGACTCCTGTAAGACGGTAGTCATCAAAATAGCATTGTTTTATAATATTTACTCAAAATCCTATATTATTGAAATGTAATTTCTAAATAATATTATGTGATATAATCACTGTTGGAATTTAATTGAACTGGGTTTATACATAGAAAATTACTAATGATACAGAAATGTAATATTCGTATATATGTATTATATATTATACCTATTATACGTATTACCTGCATAAAAAAAAGTGGATGTCTCTCTGCTGTACAGGAGGTTACAAGTGGGCTACTGTAATGGACAATATTAAATTTGAATTTAATTGTATACGAAAAACTATTCTGAGCAGAGACAGTTTATTAACCTAGRATTATTTTATACTATATTAATTATTTTGTTATTATTTCAAAAAACAAAGTGTAGGTACCTACATAAAATAAATTCCAAATTAATTAAATAAGATTCATTATGTACCCAACTATTCGAATATAAAGTATACTTAAGAAATTTAAGTACCCACGAATAATATTTTTAAATTACAACAATATAACTAAAATTGTTATTATTGATTATTCATGTAATATGTAATTTTATCCAAATTTAAAAAATAAAATAACTAAAAAAAAGCTGTTTGCATAGTTTTTAGATTTTTTTTTTTGCCGCTAAATTAACTCTGTATAACCTACCCTAGACTTAGGTGGAACCTTGTTTAAATTTTAAATTCTAAGCTATAAAATTTAAACGTTTTATACATTTTAACAACTGAAGAATTTGTAAATTTTCAATTAAATACGTTTTGTCAAAATTTGAACTTTGAATGGTTATGAAAAAAAAACGTGCCTATGTATTTTTTATATTTTTGACTGATATTATATAAACTTATGTGAAACCTCGTATTAAATTTTGAATCTTTTTTACCCATCGAATAAGATTTTATTGTCATTTATAAAAAAAAAACTAAAAATATTGAAAATGTCAAAATATGTCTATATAAATAACTTTAAAAGATTTGAAATATTTTTAAAATTTAATCAATTATAGAAAATTCCAGTATAAAGTATAAATATTCAATTAAATTTTTATGTATCTACAGTAATTTTTTATTAAGTTACACCAATATCTAAATTCGATTTTCTCAAAAATTGATTATACATAAAAATTCCCGCTTTTCCTTTTTTTTTCCAGTGCCTTTAAAAACTACTGGGAATTTCAAAATTCAACCTCACCTATACAATAACTAGATTCACTTTACAACCGGAAATCTATTGAAATTAAAAATTGAAGCACTATTTCTACAACTTATCGTTTACACAGACGCAAAAAAAAAACTATTTAAAAAACACACATTATTTTAAAATCAATACATACATCGCTCCACTCAGAATATAGAATTTTCACTCACTAATCAATATAAATAATTTAAATTAAACATCGAATATTTGATATTTTATTTAGGATTGTATTTATTTTCGCATTGTTCAGATTAAAGAAATTAGTAATTAAATCAACATTACACTAATTTATTAAGAAATTGAAAACATATTAACAACTTTGGTGATAGATTTGTTTTCCATTTTTATTTAGCACCAACTTTATCCAATTCACTAAACTTCAGCTGTTGAATTTGAGAATTATTCAATGTCAGGCCAAAGTTACGTTCGATCGTCTGTTTTATGTCAACTCCCATCAAGGAATCCATTCCTAAATCAGCTAAGGTAGATACAGGCTTAACTGAAAGTGGATCTTGAATTCCTAAATAGTAATAAAAAAAAAAATATTAAAAACGTTATAAAA